TACTCCACACGCGCCATTTCTACACACGATCGACGATCGACGATCGTCGCTCGTAGCGGCAGGTTGTTGTTGTTTGTTGTTGCATCGCGATACAAAACATCGCGGTGGGCGACGAGGTTATTGAAAAAAAAAAAAAACCGATCCTCTTCCTCTTCTCGATCATTCGAAGGGAGGGAAATCTTTCGCGAAACGAAAGAGAGAAAGATCGATCGATTTGCAACCTGCCGCCGAACACCGCTCTCCCGCCCCTCCGCTTTATGTTACGTTGCAGCGTCATTTTTTGTTCCAACGTTTTCTCTTTTTTTTTCTTTCTCGTTTTTTTTTTCTTTTCTTTTTTTTTTCTCTTCTATCCGTTCGCGCCGTTCGTGTGCACGCTTCGTTTGTTTGCTTTCGGTGTCGCCAGGACCACGTGTGTCGTGTCGTCGTGCACGCTCCTGCGCTTCACTTTCCAGTTTTTGTCTCTGTTTTCTTCTCTCGTTGTCAGTATTGCTATTTTTCTTTCTCTATCTCTCTTATTCTTTTTCTTCTTAAAAAAAAAAAGAAAAGAAAAGAAAAGAAAAGAAAAGAATGAAAAAAAGTAAACGTCGTCTCGTCGTCTCGTCGCACGGTCGACGAGCGCTCGTTCGTTGGTAGAAAAATGACGCGAACGTAACTTATGGAACAGTGCCGCGGTGGTTGCAGCCACGAGATGGTAAACTCCCCTGCAACTGCAGCGACAATGGCGTACCCGAGCTTGGAGGAGGAGAGGCGGTCGAGCGGTCACGGCCAACGTCACGCCAACCACGACGCCTACCACGACGACGATGATGTCGATCACCGTCGAACCGTCGAGAGCCGCGACCACGGTTCGTTCTCTCGGCGTCCCGTTTCCGCGCCGCCGCCGTGCCCCGCCGTCGAGCAACACCACGTTGTACACGACGAACCGTGCACCGGTTGTACCAATCTTCACCACCACCTTACTTCCACTATACTTAATCGTGATTTTGCGCACAGCTACCGACCCAACGCCGACGGATGCAATGCCTCTCCCTTCCAATCGGCCGGGGCGACCACGTCCTTCGATCGCGTGTGGCCGGTCGAGGAGAGCGTCCAGAGAAAGAAGCCGAACGAGAGGCAGAGATCCAGGAAGCAGAGCCAGCCGAGGAAGATAACGTGGAGTCAAGAGTTCGAGGACGAGGATTTGATCGAGGGGAGCAGCGAAGGGGAAGAGGAGAAGCAGAGGCAAAGGCAGGAGCTGGAGATGCAGGGGCAGCGCGAGGAGAAGGAGGGGGACGAGGAGGCGGCGAGCGCAGAGGGGTCGGCCCCGAAGCCGATCGAGAAACAGCTGGACGAGTTGAAGGAGCGTTACCAACGCCTTCAACTGACCAAGCGAAATTTGCTCAAGTGTCGCCTCTGCCCCGACGACGCACCGGCCAGGGGCCACGTTTGCCTGCCTTATCACACCAAGGCTTCTCTCACCCTTCACAAGCTGTGGAGACACGAGGGAAGGCGCAAGAAGACCTCGAATTCGGTCCCTAAATCGGATCGCCCCGTGTCCCAACAGGTGTCCTCCTCTATCACGTTGAAGGCGACCGTGTTCACCAACCCTGAATACGTGTACAACAGATAACAGTTGGTCTCGAGAGGGTTGTACGAGCGTGAAGATGGATCTCGAAACGCATTGGTTCCGCCGGATCGCGACACGGTTGTTTGACCGAAAGGAAAAGGGAGACAGGAAAGTAGGCGCTTTCTTCCAAGACTGATCAATTCTCGCGATTGAACGCCTCGATATAATTGCGCGTACGGTGTCGCGAGAATCGCGAGAATTGAACGAGAAATAGATTTCTTTGTTGCCTGATGACGTTCGATGACGTTTCGTTATTAGAGATTTTCTAAAGACTTGTTCGCGACGAGTCCAACAGCGATGCTGAGAATCGTGAGAAAGAGACTTTTCATCGTTTGCGATGTTCCGTCGCTTAAACATTTTTCCAAGGACTCGCTGTGACGTCATTACTAATAATTAAGACCGATCCAGTGCCTTTCGACATCCAACTTCCGGCTAATTCAGGGTATATGAATCGAAGTTCTCGATACTCGTTGATCTGTCGCCCCCTCCCCCCTTCGAGGAGGTTGAAACGCGGACGGAATGAAATGAATTGTTGTTCTTCGTTCCTTGGGAGTTTCGGTGTTCCTAGAAACCTTATAGAATTATTGGACCACATCGCCGAAACGTTGACTAGAATATTGGACCACGTTGCAGCAAAAGATAAAGAAAAAAAAAGAAAAAAAAAAGAAAAAAAAAAAAAAAATAAAAAAAAAAAGGAAAAAATAGAAAAGAAGAAAAAAAGGAAGAAAAACGAACGAACTTCTCTCGTAATCAACGAAAACAATTTTAGATAGAAAAAAAATTGAGGTCATCGAAATGGGTTGGTTAGCGGATAAACTAAATATGGACATAGATCTTTTTGATCACGAGAAGAAACGAGAGGAGATGATTTCACGAGAGAGAATTGAAAAGAACAGCGAAAGCTAAAAGCGTTAGCTTTTCCTCGTATAAAGGAGAAAACGTATCTTCACTCGAGTTTTGATAATTCATAGTATTCCTCTCTCGAGGAATAGCGTTTAAAACCATATTTTCATGTGATCGATACACCGTGTACATTTAAAAGATAAAGGATAGAAAAAAAAAAAAAAAAAAAGAAAAAGAAGAAAAAGGAAAAAAAAAACAAAAAAAAACGAATGTTAATGTTCGACGATCGTCTCCAATCGATGTCTTGTGCGTTTGTCCATCGTCCGTCTTTGCAATTAAATAATACATAATTAATTCTCGTCTATTCGATCAATTGACTTTGTAACCGTAAGTCACAAGTTTCGGGATGGACTGTTGCAAAGAATATACGAAAAAGAAATCGCTAACGATCGAGCCACGTGATCCGCGAAATTGATGAGTGGCCGAGAGACGAGCATGATTTTTTATATAAGGGATATTTGTACAAAAAGTCAATCTCTTGTTTACGTTATTATATGAAATATATTATATCTATTGTATTTGAGGAAAGGACGTGAGAGAAGCCAGGATAAATGTAGATTTCCAGAGAACATCACTTTCTTTTCTTCGTTCTCTGGGATTCTACGATTTCCAGATGCACGATCCTTTCCTTCGTGACACCCTTTTGTACAAAGAGATTTCATTTCGTTTCAGATATTATTATTTTCTTTTTCAGATATTTCAATCTTAATCTCTCGTCTTTTCGATATAAGCGTTTCTTTTTTAATTAGATATCAGTACAATCGTAATCTTTAATTGTTTATTATTACGATATAAATTTTCTTTTCAATTAATAATTAGTTAATGTATGTATGTTAATATAATATGTTAATATAATTATATCTTGATATTATTAAATTTATTAAAAGATATTTTCTGAAAAAAATTTCTAATGAAAAAGTTATAACCGTGAATAAAGTCAAATAAAAATATGTTGAAGTCACGAGTGTATTTTCAATCCATTATTTTTCACACGTGTGTAATATAAGCATATATTTATCGTTTTCAAATTGAATTCTTAATAGAGAGAAAGAAGAAAAAAAAAAAAAAAAAAAAATACGTATCGAATGTTGATATTTTCATCATTCTGTTTGATTTCTCGATAAAATTTAGTTTTAATTTTGACCGCTACTTATGTTACTGTCTTGTTCCATACTCAGTCGGTAACATCGCACATGACTGAAACGGTTAAGAGGTTATGTAACTCCCAAATTCCTATGATCAAAAAAAAAAAAAAAANAAAAATTAATACAAATCTATTCAATATAGATTGCAAAAGCCAAATCGACTCCATCAAGACAATTCATTTGATTTCTAAAAAAAAAAACTCTACTTATTATAATTGTATGCTGTGATAAAATTTCTAGACATTTCTAGAAACAGAAGAATTAATCAGTTCGATCTTCGAATGGTTCGAATATCACTCCGCGTCATTCTACCCGTGGAAAAAGATTGAAGAGAGCACGCAACGGTCGATAATAGGATGAAACGCGAAACCACACCGACTTGGCTCTTTCCTATCGAATAACATTACCTTCGAGTCAACTGCTTTGACACACCACCGATTTCACGTTGGCAATTTCAAACGAGGAAAATGTGCTGAATCCATAGCTTACGACGAGCAAGAAACGTCTGAACTTTCATTGACGTTAATCAGCGAGTCGAGAGCACAAAATTTTGATCCGCAATTCGTTCAAAAAAATAACGAAATTGGATCGAACAGATATTATTCTTCTTTTTCAATTCCTAATAATAAAAAAATTACGCGCGAATATTATGACAACGAAGCGTTCCAACTATTATTTCGAAACTCGAATTATAAATAAACAAAAAAAAAAAAAAATAGAGAGATGTTTTTGGAAAACAGAAACGAACAGTATCAGTAGTTTATTCTAGCCGAGTACACGCATATATCTGCATGCTCTGCCACTTTTATCAGATCGAAATTTCAACGTCCACGCGTTTCACTATCCACTTCTCGCGAAACGGTTCAAAAATTGCGGTTTTGCCCTTCAGGCGCGAGTTGTACATTTAAATCGGTCCGAAGTTCGAACGTTTCTTTCAATTGCAAATTCGCAGAAAAAAGCGAATTTTAAAACACGAATGTTCAAAAAAAAAAAGAAAAAAATTGAAAAAGGGATAGTAAAGCGCTGGGAGAAACGATTTAAAACGCGTTAAAGTGAAAAGAAATTTCAAAAGAAACGGACGATCGACCGTTTACGATATAAAAATTCAAATCGATAAAACCGATTTTCTTTTATTCAAAAAACTTCTTTCGTGTATATATCCACTTCCGGTTTCCATTACACGGATCTCATCCAACAGTTATCGAACAGTTTCGATTATATTCTCGTTTTCGTTCGAACGTTTTTTCACGATGAATTCCGAATCCGAAAGTTCACTGGACACCGATCAACATTTTAACGAAAATATCAGCGGAACGAAAAAAAGGACGAAGGGGTCGAGAGCGCGGACTCGAAGCGGAAGTACAACGTCCAAGACGGATTGCGATCCATCTGATAATCCACAAAGCGAAGTTGCCACGATGAAACAGGTTAGAACGAAACGAAACTGGAAAAAAAAAAAAGAAAGAAACAAACGAACCGAGACAAAAAATAAAAAGAACAACATCAACGTGTGCGAATACTCGTCGCTTGATCGTGGTCGCTTGCACGATTCGCATAGTTATCGAGTTAAAATTCGATGCAAATCAGCGATATGACGTCGTTATAATTTCGAACCTGTGGCGACGCTCCGCAATTCGACTACTGCTTTATATTTCTAATGGAGTCGACGTATAATATAATGCAACCGTGCACAATGGGTGAATCGAAATTCGATATTTCTTTTTCCTTCTTTTTTTCGAGTTTTCCTTATTTAATCGCATGCTTCCACACACCGCATAATTATCGCATATTAATCTGTTATTAAATTATCATTGTTGCAAAATTACAATTGACGTTGTTACACCGCTTGCGCTCCAATTCCATTCACGATCAATTATCGTCGATCCTTCCAATTTGTTGGCCTTAATTAACACCCTCGATTGCTCGTTTCGTTTGTTAACGCACAGTTGCAACATTCTCATTACAATCTTTCGAAAATTTCTCAAGAATAATTTATTAAACAAAATGAACAAACGCGATCATTCGAGCACAAGTTTCCACCAAATAAATAAACTCTTCGACAGTTTTATCCTCGAAATATATCTGAGCATATAATATGAGTAAACGCGATTTGTTTAAAATTGTGGGTGGGCCCTTCGAAAAGGATGGCGATTACGTATTGGAAACTCGTTCGTCCGGAACTTTTTCGAAAATCCTTTCGAGGATAAGTCGATCTTTATGCAGAAATTTGGATAACGGAAGCTGGTTGGCAGCGGGGGGGACGTCTTTGTCAGAAGGCGCGGTTCCTAACTTTCGAAGCGGAAACGCGCGCGAATGTCGAGATTCGTGCCTCTTGTGATTCTTCGCATCGATAAGCGGATAAAAGAAATCAAGAATATTCCAACGGCATCCCACCCGGATACGGGTTACAACTGATGGAGTCTGTCGCCCTGAAAAGATCTCATCTTTCCACCGTTTTTATTTCACGCGGATCCCGGTCGGAATTTCAAGGAATTTCTCGATTTTCCAGAAGAAAATAACGTTCCAACCAACCTTCCTTCCTCCATATTCACTCCGATCGTTCACATTTCTTTTCTTTATTAATACACGCGCCTTCCCTTCCCTTCTCTTCTTCTCCTCTTCCTATCATTTCGAAGTAGAAACGAATTTTTAACAGTAATATTTTGCAATATTTTATTTCCTCGGACGAGTCTTACGCAGAAAAGAAAAAGTCTGATGAAATATCCTGATGATAAAATTCGTATACGACGAATGCAAAGTTAGCGTCCTTTTAATATTTCATTTAATTTAAATTTTATTTAAATTTACTTGAAATCAATTCTCCCAATTCGCTCTCAAATTCTTCCGATCGAGATCCGACAAAACTCCTCCCCACTCGCGTTAAACATCGCGCCGAGGGTGGAAAAAATTCACGGTTTCCTCGTGCACTTCCGGAAGGAAGTGTTTCACCGTGTTAAAGGCATTTTTTAATATCCGGTCGCTGCAAGCAAGCGTGACTATGACGCTCGCTCGTATATCAGTTTATAGTGGCACTTGAGCGCGCAGCTATGTGCGATGAAAAAAAGCTGCACGGGCGCTGCCCAACAACTTTCTCATCATTACGCATCCCTCGCGTTAACGCATGAATATTCATATTCGCGCGTATATATATATATATATATATATTCCAACTTTTTTATATTCCTTCCTTTCTTCTTTTCTTTTCCACCTCTCCGTTTAATTCCTTAACCGGCCTCGAAACCGAGAAGCAAAATTTATTTATTTCGTGCGTCGACGAATGATGAATGCAATTTCTCTTTTTTCTTTTTTTTTTGCACCTTTCTTGGACGCGCATCCACCTTTTCACGAGGGAGGGGGAGGGTTTTATTTGTATCTCGTTCAGTGAAAACACGTTTTGCGTTTTAATTACAGTCGATCCCCTCGACGGGGAGAAAGAGGAAGAGAAGAACGTCCGTGAATTAATTTCAATTCTTTTTCTTCAAATTCTCTTAACCTGTCGTATCGATTAAAGGATCTCCCCCAAATAGCGGTCTTCGACCTTTCTATTTTCTTTTGTTTTTTTTTTTTTTTATTTCACGATAGAATTCCAGTCAGTTGGACTCTTGCGCGTTCACGATAACGCAAGTTTGAAACGTATGTGATTATTTTTCGTGGATAAAAGATATATATATATATATATATTCAGATCGCAATTACGTTTCTCTATGCCGGCGAATATTCGCATGAAGCACGAATCCACGAATATATACGTATAAACGTTGCAGCAACTCGACCGTTGAATGCGTTTTACACGCCGGTTAAACCGGATAGAGGGTTAAGGGATGATACCAGTCACCTGTTTATTCTGATCATTTTGAGGAGGCGCTAAAACATCCTCGCGATGGTTCGATTTAAATAGCGAAACCACCTACCGTTATCATTTTTCCGCTCCTCCATAAACGCGAACGAGAGGGGAAAATTTGAATTTGATGGCGACTCTTAACACCACTCGTAATAGGGGACTCGCTTTTATT